AGGGTCTAGGCCCGAAACGTCAGCTTTCCTGCTCCTCTGATGCTGCTTGGCCTGCTGTGTTCATCCAGCTCTACACTTTGTTATCTCAGATTCTCCAGCATCTGCAGTTCCTACTATCTCTTAATCTAGTCCTATTTGCCAGCATTTGGCCCAAATCCCTCTAAATCCTTTCTATTCATATAACCATCCAGATGCCTTTTAAATATTGTAATTTACCAGCCTCCACTACTTCCTCTGGCTGCTCATTCCATACATGCACCACTCTCTGCACGAAGAAGTTGCCCCCAGGCCCCTTTTAAATCTTTCCCCTCTCACTTTAAACCTATGCCCTCTAGTTTTGGACTCCCCCAGCTCAGGGAAAAGACTTTGTTTACCCTATCCATGCCCCTCAGGACCTTATAAACCTCTATAAAGTCACCCTCAACCTCTGATGCTCCAGGGAAAATAGCCCAGTCTATTCAGCCTCTCCCTATAGCTCAAACCCTCCAACCCGAGCAGCATCCTTGTAAGTCTTATCTGAACCCTTTAAAGTTTCATAACATCCTTCCTGTAGCATTATGGACTTATCCATCACCTTCAACAGTTACTCCCTTCACCACTGATGTATACTGGCTGCAGTGTGTATCATCTTTTGCAGCAAGTCATCAAGACAGCTCTGACTTCACCATCCAAACTTACAACCTAGAAGGACAAGGGCAGCAGACACAAGACAATGCCAATACTAGCAGGATTCCAAGCATCATCCTGACTTAGAAACATATCATTATTTGTTTGCCGTCACTGGGTCAAAATTTTGGAACTCATTCCTTAAAATCATGAACAGCACCAGAAGTCAGCTCACCACCACCTTCTCCAGAGCATTTAGAAATGAACAACAAGTTCTGGCCTAGTCAATACCACTCACACCCAGGGAAGAATTTTATTAAAAATTATCAGGTGTGACTTTTGACTGGAGGTTGCTGGATATAAATCATAAGTGACAATTTTGGTTCCTTTCTCTTCCTAGTTTTTAACATGGCCTCTGCTACAATTAGTTAACTCAAAACACAGATTTACCCAGAATCTATTAATTTGTTTGATGTTACTAGCTTGCTCTTTCATTTATATCCAGGCACATGCGATTACAAGAGAACAGCAGATTTTGGAATTAGGAATACCCTTTGTGCATACAATGCTGTGAATTCAAAGGCAGTGGTTTGACAAGGAGACTCTTTCATTCACTTTGCTCTCCCCAGGGATGAGTCTCACACTCCTGTCTTCCCGGGGATGAGTCTCACACATTCCTCTCTCCCCAAGGATGAGTCTCTCACACTCCTCTCTTCCCAGGGATGAGTCTCTCAAACTCCTCTCTCCCCAGGGATGAGTCTCCTATACGCCTCTCTCCCGAGGGATGAGTCTCCCACACTCCTCTCTCCCCAGGGATGAGTCTCCCACACTCCTCTCTCCCCGGGGATGAGTCTCCCAC